TTTTTATATATATATATATATATATATATATATATATATATATATATATATATATATATATATATATATATATATATATATATATATATATATATATATATATAATATGGATATTTATTTATTTCTTGAAAGAGCTATTAGCATTAAGTATAAGAAGTATGTTCACGCCATTTAGTAACAAAGAACCTGAGTATCAATAATATGAAACATTTTTTTGTCTTTTTTCTTTCAAGGAAAAATTATCTATAGACTTGATCATGAAAAAGCAACTATTCTTCTTGGCATGGATATGTATATATATAAGGAAGCAAATAAGAGAAACATGATAGATATTGGAATTTGGAATCCAAACCTAGAAACAGGATAAGAGTTAGAAAGACTAACCTTTCCCCCTGGAAGGCCTCCCGTTGTGTTCACACGAACAGGAGGGCAGTTGGTGCCCATGAAGCAATCGACATCTGCACCGAGCTGCTTCAGACCAGCAACCAAGTCTCCTATTGGCCTTTCTCTCATTCTTGGAACCCCATCAAGTATGTAACTGAAGTATCAAAGGAGACAACTCTTATAATTGATTGTACAAAGATGAAGATATTTAGTTCAGATAGTAAGTACTAATAGACCTTGCATTTCCACCAGCAGCTGTGACAGCTGCTGTCAATGGCCGCATTGCAGTCCCTGCATTTCCCAAGAAGAGTTGAACTTCTTCTTTAGAAGCTTTACCCGCCGGGAACTGTCCACCGCATCCTACAATTATTGCTCTCTTAGTTGCAACATCATCTTCCACGGAAAGGCCAAGGGTTCTCAAAGCAGCAAGCATGTAGCGAACATCATCACTGTTCAACAAGTTGTCCACCACAGTGGTTCCCTGAAAACAGTTCCAAGGCAGATCAGAAAATAAGGAAGACCAAAGCAGGGAAAGCAAACACAGATTCAATGCAAACCGACCAAGAAATTTCGATTCCCACAAAAGAGAAAAAAATTGAATTCGGACATTTCTTATGAATGGGCATTCTTGTTTATCATGGAAACTAAGCTAACTAAATGGATCGATCAAGGCATCAAATGAAACAAGATATCGTTGAAACCGGAAAACTGTCGACAAAGGGGACAATCGAAGATCAATCTTTTCCGCAGATTCACCAAAACCCCAAAGTTTCAATCTTTCGACCAAGAACCTCACCTCGGAGAGGGCAGCGAGGAGGAGGATCCGATTCGACAAGGACTTGGATCCCGGGAGCTTAACCGTACCGGAAATCTCCTTAATGGGCTGCAGCACGATCTCCGGCACCGCCGACGGCTTCTCAGCGGAGACCGCGACCGACGCCGAGACTCTGAGAGGCGCACTGCGCCTCCCGCAGCCTCCCGCCCTCATGCCACCGAAAGAACCGGGCTTGGCGACGGATCCAACGGGAAGGGAGTAAGAAAGAGTCGTCGGTCGCCGAACTCCACCGAGACAGGAGGGCGAAAGCACGGGATTCGCCTCCAAGCCCTTCGCCACAGTCGCCTGCGCCATCACTCTCTCTCTCTCTCTCTCTCTCTCCCTCTCTCTCTGATTGATCTCAAAGACTCGAGGTGGATGAATGGGCACCCGTACCAACTTCAACGACAACAAAAGGCCCGAATGACTAGATCACAGTACAGTCTGCGCACCGCATCCTCAGTCGTGTTCGGAGTCGTTGTCGAACGGTGTCATCTACCCCGACCAACCCCGACGACGACGGAGAACGCCACGACACCCCACCACCCGAAACCTTGCGTGGGAGAACGTAGTTCATTATCACGATGGAGCCCACTAGTGGTAGGTGAAGTAAAGAAGTGGGGACGTAAAGTTGGCACGTGATTGACTGACGTAAGTAAACGTAACCTAACCCACAAACTTGACTTCCCGATTATGACTTTGAACGGGCTCAGATTCATGAACCACGAATCGGGCGCTGTGGTCCGTTTCGCTCCAGGTGGGTCCCATCCGCATCTGGTTTGACCCAGAAAGATTGATGAAGGCCACGTCACCCTTAACCATTTTAAGGGGGACACGCCTCGAATACATCAGAGATCACATCGCCCCAAAAGTGGGCGATGTATATGGATGAACTAATCCAACCGTTATCTAAAAGGTTATCCAAAAAAAAAAAAAAATCAAAAGAATAAAAACATATAAATAAATAGAAATGATTGTCATTATTGTAATCATCGGATAAATATACATTTCATGTTGAGGAAAATAGTATCATTCATTACTGACTTTTCTCAAAAGTACTCGACAACCCGAGCAAAGTGTTCGGATGTATAATAATAGAGAATCAGATGCTTTTTAATAAATTATTTTATATTTGATGATGATGCAACTTTAGGGGTACAAAGGTCGATGGATGACTGCTACTTGTGCGAGCTTAAAAGGTGTATTCACTCCCTAAGCCTAAGCCAGACTGAAGGTAAAAGAAGGTATCTTAACAGCGATGAATAATGAATAGGGAAAAAGAAAATTGCAAGATCGAAAAACATATATCTTTTTGTTAATGACTAAAAGTACCTTCTGGGAAGGGAATTTTGCTGGGCATCTAATCCTTTCTACCTTGTTTTCTGAATCGTTTTATTTTCTAATGAAATTAATATATCTTTTTGTTAAAAAAAATAATATTCTTGTCAAAAGAAAATAAAGAAAAAATAATCAGGAACTTGAACGACCAAATGAGAAAGGTTTTCTGTTTTATTATTTAATTTTTAGATTGTATAATATATTATTTCTTATAGAAATTGATTAAGTAGTTTTGAAGAAATTATAACCCTTGTTGCAATGTTTTTCCTTAAAAAATTATATGGTTCTCCTAGATTTTATTTGAAGCATTTTTAAATTTTATGAGTATCTTATTCTATGATTATATTATTTATATTAAAGATTTATAAGAACTCTTATTATTATTAGAATGTATGGTTTATTATTTCTCTTGAAAGCATATTATAATATGATCCTTGTCTAAAGAGTTTCCAAGCTGAAATCAGCCTCCTTGAAAGGTTCACAGCAAGCTCCCTCTTCTTTCAATCATGTCTTCAGGTTAGAAGACACCACAAATAATCCTAGAAATATAGCTGCAACATATAAATATATAGCAAAACATAGTATGAAGTTACCCCCCATTTTAGAGGCTCTTTTTTGACATAGCTGCAGATGTGCCAGACAAAAACCACAAAACAGAATGATAAAATCAATTTCATCAGGCATTTATAGATGCGACCAGACTCTTACAATATTCCAACCATGAAACCTAAAACAAAATCTGGATGTAACAGGACTTCAAAAAAGAGTAATTACTCTCCTCAATAGCACTTTTGTTTCATATGACAATAGAGTTTGATGGAATGTCAACAGCAGCAAATCAAATAAATCAGACGAAATCAGCTAAATCCGAAATTACAGAAAAGATCTCAATGACATTTTATTATAGGCCGAATGCCAACATTCAATTTCTTTAGGCACTCATCTTTCTGAGCCCTAGTAGCCAGGAATTGCCAGAACATAAAACTGATATGTCAAATATCACAGAGATCTGGCTGTTGCAATGATGTTCTCTGCTGTTATACCGAATTCCTTGTATATTCTCCCAGCTGGGGCACTTGCACCAAACCGATCAATCCCGATCGCCTTGCCCTTGCTTCCGACAAACTTCTCCCACCCAAGAGTGGTGCCTGCTTCGATACTAATCCTGGCAGTGACAGAAGCAGGGAAGACACTCTCCTTATATTCATCTGATTGCTCGTCGAACAGCTCCCATGAAACAAGAGATACTACACGGACCGTCTTCCCCTCCTTCCTTAGCTCATCAGCAGCCTTGGCAGCTATTTCCAGTTCTGAACCAGTGCCCATAAAAATGAGATCTGGTCTGTTGCCGGATGAGTTGTCCGAAATAATGTATCCTCCCTTCTCAACTCCTTCAGCAGATGTTCCTGCAAGCTGAGGAAGCTTCTGCCGGGAAAGAGCAAGGACTGATGGCCTTTTCTTGTTGAGCACAGCAACCTTGTATGCTCCAGCAGTCTCATTTCCATCAGCTGGACGGAGCATTAAAATATTTGGCATGGCTCGGAAGCTTATCAAATGTTCGATAGGTTGATGGGTGGGTCCATCTTCACCAAGTCCGATAGAATCATGTGTCATCACATAGATAACTCTTGCCTCACTCAAGGCTGAGATCCTCATGGCAGCTCTCATGTAGTCAGTGAAGACAAAGAAAGTGGCACAATAGGGGAGAAGACCAGGGCTGTGGAGGGCAATACCATTACAGATGGCACCCATTCCATGTTCTCTAACACCAAAACGGACATTTCGTTCCTCAGGAGTGCCCTTTTGGAAGTCACCAAACGTTTTCAATAAAGTCATATTGGAGGATGCAAGGTCAGCACTGCCACCAAGAAAACCTGGGAGTACTTTGGCAAGTGCATTCAAGCACTGCTGTGACAGATTTCTAGTAGCATCAGCAGGACTTTCAGAAGTATACGTCTGGAAAAGGGCGAAAAAATGAGAATAGTTAATATCTACCAACTTCAAATATGGTGTTACTATAATAACTTAAACCTAAGTGGAAAATGAGATATTCACCGGAAGAGCCGTCTCCCATCCAGCAGGCAATTCTCCCGATATGATACCTTTCAGCTGTGCAGCATCTTCTTTATACTTCTTCTCATACTCTGCGAACTTGGCATTCCATTCAGCTTCAAAAGAAGCACCTTCAGGAACATGGCAGCTCCAGTGACTGAAGACAAACACAACAATTTATTTTATGCATTCAATAATTCTATTTGATAAATAACAATTACAATATTTCCTAACCTCTTCACTTCCTCAGGCACATGGAATGGCTCATACGGCCATCCAAGGTTCTGTCTAGTTGCATCGACCTCCTTAGCACCCAATGCACTTCCATGCACACTATATGTGTTTGCCTTGTTTGGTGATCCATAACCAATGGTAGTAGTGACCTGCAGAAACTCAGCGGTTCATCAAGAATTTGATGCAGTCGATGACATCCATGATCACAAATTTAACTCTATAATGCAATTTAGGCAGACAAACCTTAATCAGTGTGGGTTTGTCTTTGACAGCCTTTGCTTCCTTAATGGCTGCACGGATATCATCATAGCCATTATTACCATTCTTAACCCAGATGGTGTGCCACCCAAGAGCCTCAAAACGAGCCATTACATCTTCCGTAAAAGCGATCTCAGTGTCTCCATCAATGGAAATGTGGTTGTCATCATAAAACGCGATAAGTTTCCCTAGGCCCCAATGCCCAGCAAGAGAACAAGCTTCATTTGAAATGCCCTCCATTTGACAACCATCCCCGAGTATGACATACCTATACCATTAAAATGTCTAGTGAGTCACGTACATAAACTTAGATTGTAACTAGTGGAATTCAGTCATCATAATGCAGACAGCATAAAGATCAGTTACGTGTAATGGTCCACAATCTCATTGTCAGGCTTATTGAAACGGGCAGCTAGGTGCTTCTCAGCAAGAGCCAACCCAACTGCATTTGCAACACCCTGACCAAGAGGACCTGCACCATTTAATGATAACAAATGGAAGCCTTAATTTCTCTAACAACAATCAACTGGAACAGATAAAAAGGTTTCATTAACGATGAGAGAATTCATTCAATGTTTATAAGAGAACATATTGATTATCTATTTAAGAAGCAAACCAGTTGTGACTTCAATTCCAGGGGTTTCAAAGTTCTCAGGGTGACCAGGAGTTCTGCTGCCCCACTGCCGGAATTCCTTTATGTCTTCAATCTACAGACCAGATTTAAAATGTCAAAAACATATCATATAAGATGACCTGACACACAAGCATAAACGACATGATAAAATAGTGTAACTCAAATCTTCTTCTAGAGATAAATATCAAGATGTTGCAATACAAGAACAAAATATGAACAACATCATGTTGGATATGTTTAGCTACTGAAGCGAAATCAGATAAACATTTCCCGGTATGACTCTATGCCCTCAATCCAATATTCCCTAATCATAGAGCTAAAACTTAATATAAACTTTATTTCCAGTAACTAAAAATGCATCCTTTTCATGTCTCACATGAAACAAACAAATCTTACTATGCATTTAAAAATAATAATCAACTATCGATCTCCACGCTTTCTAAAGCCTAAAACCTTTTCCTAATGCTGTGGATAACCTAAAAAAGAAAAAAAATTGAGATGAGCATTTTCAGCTCAATAAGGTTTATTTAAGTATAAACGGCAGATGCCAATGAATCTTACCATGTGCCATGCAATTAGTTTACAATATGATTAATGATGACAAATTAACATCAAGTAGAATACAGTATCAACATGAATATAACCCAAAAATAATTTTGCACGATAAAGGACATCATATTACTATACATAGGATCAGTTTGATCACTTGAGATGAAATGACTCCTCTTATGGATGTGAGGAATCATACCATAAGACACTCCCAACTGTTTATTCGAATGAAGTGGTGATCCACCTATCATGATGGAAAAAGACCCCATTTACAGATATGGGAAATCGTCTATAGCCACATACATCATCATATAACACTATG